TGTGAGGACGCCCGGGGGAAAGACCACTCCACCTAGAGGCTCCCAGAGGGCTGCCTGGAGGAGGTGGCCTTTCTTCGAGCTGGGCCTTGCAGTGTGAACGGGACTGGGTCCTGCACAGAAAGGAGCAGTGAGAGTTTGCTGGAAGCTGGAGAGGTGGTCGTGTTCTGTCTTCGCCCTCCTGCTGAGTGGCGCTGATCTCTCGTCACTGTTCGTCCTTGTTCATCAGGCTCGGCGGAGCCTCATCTCCTGCTCCTCCTTAGCCTGACCCACACAGCCCCTGACAGCCTGAGCTTGTGCCAAAGGAGACACACACTGCAGGGCAGACAGAGTCCAGGGAAAGGAAGGCAGAGCTGTACATCAGGCACCTGCTACGTGCCAAACCCTGCGCTTTGTACATTCTCATCTAATGTCTAACTATCCCACCACGCACATGAGATGATTCCCGTGTAATAGGGAAACTGAGGCTCAGAGAAGTCAGGCAGTGTGCCCTTGGTCACAGAGCTCAGAATGCCGGCAGCTGGGATTCAAATTTAGGTCGTGCTGGCTCTGGAGGCCGTGTCTACTGCGGCCTGCCTCTCCCAGCTTCCCGGCACAGAGGGGAGACTGAAAGAGAGAGGCCTTCGCTGGCGCCAACCCCACCCCAGTGACCTCCCACAAAGCCCCTGCCCACGGACATCTCTTTCAGCTGAGGAGCGGGTGCACATTGGCTTCACTTTACCTGTAAGGGCCCAGGTAGCACACATGACATAGTGTCTGAGCTGACACTTTTCAAAGGATATTCCTGGGAGATTACCAGCACAGGGAGCCCAGAGCCCTGACAAAATAGTGTCTCAAGGAGACATCCAGCGAAGTTCTTCAGAGATGCCCAGGAGACACTTAGTACAACCCCACCCCGTCTCTAATCCCGAGCAGACTGCAGCCCCTGCAGGAGAAGCCCTACTAGCTCCCGGGTAAAGGCACCCGACAGGTCAGGCTGGGGCACTGTGCGCAGATGCAGGGCCAGGCTTCAGCCTGGAATCGGTGCGGAGAGCCCCAGGGTCCACAGATGAGGTGAGCGCTCCAGCTTCCAGTCTCCAAAGGAGCTGCACGGGTGACTTCCCTGTCATCTGGGGCAACACGTTTCTCCCAGACTTCATGAGATCCAACACGTTAAGGGCCCCCTGCCTGGCCCCAAGGTTTCTACACCATCCCCAAGCCCAGGACTGCTCCCCACCCCGTCGCTTGCCGAGTCCGGTGCAGGAGTCCTTTCAGCCAGAGATGAACAAAGAAGCAAAAGAGCTTGGCTCTGCTCCCTCTTTTTTGTTTCAGTCTTTTTTTCAGGGTCCTCCCTCCTCTGGCCCCCTCCCTGCTCCATCACCAGGCCTGGAGTCTGTGCTCCCCTCCCCAGACCTTAGTAATTGCTGATTGAGTGGCTTTGAGGAGCTGTTAAGAGGCCAGGGAGCTGAGGCAGTCACTTGATGGCCTGGCAGGGACGGCCCCTGAAAGGCCCCTTTGTGCCGGGCCCATTACTGGGAAGCTGCATTCAATTACCAAAGGCTGCAACAGGGGCCCCTGGTCCCCTCTGGCTTGCTTTCTTCTCGCCCCACCCCCACCCCGAAAAGAAACAGATGTTCAGGGAGATGGGGGCGGGAGCCTAGGCAGAGACCCCCTCCTTGGGCTTTGGAGAGCCGGGGGAGGAGCAGACCAGACTGTCTGTGCCTGGCCCCTCCTGCAGCGCCGCCGGCTCTGTTGGGCTCCCAGCTCTTCTCTAGCCTTCCATCTCCATTAGGAATGCTGCCCACAGAGTGCCTGCACACAGTAGGTGCTCAACAGACACAGTTGATGGGACAGTGATGATTTGAATGAATGGGCCTTAAGATCTGAGGCCCCGGGAGCTCCAGGGAGGCCCACTCCCCACCCTGCCCCCAAGACATGCCCTGAACCTTCTTCCTCTCCAGCTGCCTGAGCACTGAGTCAGCCTTCCCGGCTCCCAGGCCCTTTCAATCCCTCCCAAGTGGGCTTCGAGGCCCCCTCCAGCCCAGGCCCACCCTCACTTTTTCTCTAGTAATACCTTTTACAGTGGACTCTCATGTTAGCTTATTTCACCCTGTGCACTGCAGGGATCTACCCATTTTACAGACAAGGACACTGAGGTTGAGAGATCCTGAGTGATGGGTCCAAACTTACCCCCTGGCAAGGGTTAGAGTTGGAACTTCACCATGTCACAATCACCTCTCACCCCAGAGACTCATTTACCATGGGAGGGACCCACCATGGTCTGGGGTTCTTCTCCAGGATGGGGGCCTAGAGCTGTCGAAGTTCTAGAACCTCTGGAGATGTTGCTAGCAACTGTTCAAGCCAATTAGTGGGTGGAGAGACCTAACCTGCAAGGAGAACTGTGGGTACCCCTCCCTCGTCCCCACACTCACAGACCCTCCTGCCTCAGGGCACTCACCATAGCTCACTCAAGCTGCTCCTGCCTCCAGCCAGCCTGGCCGCATCCCCAGGACCAGGAGCCCACCCTGATCATATGGAGCCCCCCGCTTGTGCATCCCCTTTGTTCTCCTGGGCGGCAGCTGGACAGCAGGCAAAGAAAGGGGCTTGTATTGTGCTGCATTGTGTGATGGGGGGAGCCACGGAGGGACCTGTCATTGTCTTGGTCAGCCACTCCGCCAGCCAGAAAGATTGAGGTCCTGGGGGGTGGGGCTGGCAGCAGTCAGGAGAGTGGCTGGGGTTGTGCAGGGGTGAGGAGAGGGAGGGCAGGGGCCAGGGAACATAAATTAGCAGATGGACTAGGGAGCATTCGATCTCCACCGGGAGGGTGGGCGCTCTCATTCCCATCTTGTGGCCTCCAGGCAGGAGTGGAGAAGTTGGGAGCATGCGTGGGCCTTAGAAAATCAGGCAGAGCTGAGTTCAAGCCCAGCTAGATCATTTCCTTGGGCAAAACCCTCAGCCTTCCTGCACTTGTGTTCTCAACAGCACTCACACAGCATCAGCACCCACGCAGCATCGGTACTCACGTAGTAATAGTAGCTACAGCCCAGAGGTGCAAAAATCAAATACGGTAATGCAAGGCGGCGTTTGCTGCCGCTTGGCAGGGTGCCTCCTCCAGTCGTCGGTACTGGTACCGTTGTAGTTCTGTATGTGGTAGCTCTGTTGTTGGGAGGCACCCTCCCACAAGAAATGCACTTACACGCCACTCGTGCAGAAAAGGGCAGTTTATTCACTCCAGCTGGCCAGCGTCTGTCTCCCAAGGAGCAACCAAGGAAGAGCGGCCTCGGGCTTTGGTCTTATAGGGTTTTTAAAGGCAAAAACTACATCCCATTGGCACACAGGATTGTCCAGGTGCACAAAGCAAGCTAGGGGAAGCTAGGTCATAGAGACCTAGAACGAGCCATTCGAGCAATCAAGCATACAAGTTTTCATTGTGTATGGTTCCTGTTCCCATGTGATAATTCACTGTGTGTGGCTCCTGTTTCTATGCAATGGTTTTTGTTTCTATGAGAAGATCAATGGTTTCTCCTGCAGAAAGGGGGGTAGTCTGCAGGTCAGGCAGGGGGCAAATAGAGTTACTTAGGTTAAGCAAGCAATTCCACAGAAGCAGATAGCGTACGTTATGAGGGTGTAGGGAGCTCTATTTCAGTGTGTCTTGAGGGTCTAGCTGTTATGAGGACTCTGAGTTCCTGAGAACAAGTCGTGCCGTCCATTTCCCATAGCGCAGACCCTGTGGTTAAGGTCACTGCTTTGTTTTCTCTACCTGGAAAGCAGGACACAGCGGATCATCCCCAACTCATTTGTATTGGGCCAACTGCGTTTTCTTACTGCAGTTTTTAATCCCCCAAACTAGGTTTTACTTTAGTTGATGTAATTATCTCACTGCTCCCAGGCAGGGGCAGTAACTGGATGGGGGTGAGAAGCCTGGGTGGGATCCCTGAGCTGTATTTCATTGGGAGTGTGCTGCTCACAAAAATCAGAGCTCATCTCTTCCAGAGAGTTCTGAAGGTCTTCCATCTGTTGTCTTATTTAGTTCTCAAAACATTGCTGAGAGCTTGGTGGGGGAGGGGTTCAGGATATCTTTAGCTCTACAATTCTGATTTTCCTTTACAACCCACATTGACACTTGCCTTGCGTTGATTTCCCTGAAAGGGAGTTGTGCCTAGGACATCAAAGCATCCCCCAAATTTAAGAATAATTGAATATTTTATATTTCCAGGAAAAAGCTTCAAAGTCATTATCATGTGAAAATTTGGAACCTTTCTGATATTTTTCTCATGTTTCTTTTATAACTGAGTGTGGCTTTTGTTTTGGATCGCACATGGGAAGCCACCAGCATTTTTCCATGGCCTGGAGCCTCGTAAGGTATTAATCTGGCTCTGGCTTTGTCCCCAACCACAAAGCAAATCAGAGGCTGGACCAAAATGCGACTCAGTGTTGCGGATGAACCTTGAACACGTTTCACTAAGTCAAAAGAAGCCAGACATGAAAGGTCATGTATCGTATGACTCCATTTATAGGAAATGTCCACCATAGGTAAACCCCTGGAGACAGAAACCAGATTAGTGGTTGCAGGGGGAGTTGAGGGGAGGGGATGGGGAGTGACTGCTTAGTGGGTACAAGATTGTACTTTGGGGTGATGAAAATGATTTGGAGTTAGAAGTGACGGTTGCACAACACTGCAATGTGCTAAATGCCAGTGAATCGTGCACTTTTTCAGATGATTAAATTTATGTTCTGTGAATCTCAACTCGATCGAAAATAAAGTTAGATAGAACTCAGGTCTCCCAGTGCACATAAGTGTCTACGGCTCCATGCCAACACTGTGGTAGACCCGGCAGGTGCAGGATCTGCTCTGAAGGAAGCAGACGGTGGCACAACAGGGCTTGATTCCACTTGGCAACGAGGGGCAGAGATGCCCATGGTCCAAGTCTCGATTCCAACCAGAGTGCTCTGTGCCTTCCAGCCCTGACCACGATGACCCTTCCCCCAGGGCCACTGACATCCCTGATTCTCTGTCCCCCCAGGGGAGCGACAGTGAGTATGAAGTCGACCCCAGCCACCAGAAGGCCCACTCTTTTGTCAACCACTACATCAGTGACCCCACCTATTACAACTCGTGGCGGCGGCAGCAGAAGGGCATCTCGCGGGCCCAGGCGTACAGCTACACGGAGAGCGACTCGGGCGAGCCAGACCACGCCACCATCGCCAACAGCAACAGCACCCAGCAGGGCAGCCTCTTTCGACCCAAGGCCAGTCGGACTCCAACGCCCCAAAACCCCCCGAACCCCTCAAGTCAGCAGAGCACCCTCTACCGCCCCCCCAGCAGCCTCGCCCCTGGCTCCCGGGCTCCTATAGCAGGATTTTCATCATTTGTTTGATGTCAGAAGAGGAAAGAGAAAGAAAGAAAAATGGCACCAAACTCCTCCGTCACCCCTCCCTGCACCGCCTGCCAGAAAACAAAAACACCAAGAAACCAAGTCAACTTTTCACCTCCCGAGTTTATTCTTCCAGAGATTCCAGGGCCAGCCAGGCTGGTGTGGAGGGGGAGGCAGAAGCAGCCACGAGAGATGTCTGTGGCCAGCGGCTGGTTGGTGTCACAACTGTGGGGCTCGCTGCTCCTGCAGGAATTGCACTGAGCTGGGGAAGTGGCCGTTTTGCTGCTGCAGTGGATGCAGCCTGGGCTGTGCCCCTGGAGAAAGAAAGGGAGAGAAGACAACAGACTGCAGGGCTGGTGAGGCTGGCATGGCTGAGGGAGGAAGAAGCTTCTAGACATCCAGCCAGCTGCCACCTCCCGACATGGGCTAGGTCCCGGGACCCGCTGCTCCTCTGCTCAAAGGATGGGTATCCCCTGAGGCAAAGCCACCCTCTTTCTGTGCACCTTCCTCCCAGCCCCCCATCCCACCCCATCCCAATCCATGCCATCACTGGCAGCCATCCGATGGCCTTGCCCGACCCCTGCCCTGCCTCGACCACCTCCACTTCCCACCTCCCTCATTCAACTTCTCCATCAAGCATTTGGTTTATTTAGCAAAAAGGAAAAAAAAAAAAGGGGGTGAGAATTTGCTTAGCTACTTCCTTATTCCTTCCTATTTTTTTTAAAGTAGATCCAAGGAAGAGGTCCCCAAGGAGTGGGGGAAAGTGTCCCCCACAACGATCCCTGCCTCCCTGGGCTGGAATTCACTTTCCTGAGCACAGACAGGAAGAGGTGAAGTTTGGGGAGCAGAGGTTTAAGGTGGCTGGCCTGGCACTGTGGGATAATTAGGTGTAATGCGTTGCAGGAAGTCAAGAATGTAAGAATGAAGCTTTGACTGTTCTCTTCTTCTGATCCAGGTACCACCTGCCCCATCCTTAAAGGAGGAGTGAAATGGGAACTTGCTAGAACAAGGAAAGTCAGCTTGCCTGGGTTGGGAAGCTAGGCAGAGATGAGGAATAGGCATCTGGGCAGACACACCACTCTCCCCTGGATAGATATCTTCCTCCTAACACACACACACACACACACACACACACACACACACACACACACACACATCTCCCATGCATGTGCAAGGAAAGGGGACTAGGGATTCTCTCCAAGAGGTCCTCCGAGCCAAACTGCACACTCACTTTCAGATCTCTGTCCCTCTCCCTGTCAGCCCACAGCCTTCTAAGCACAGCAACCCCGGTCCCTGATACAGAGGCTGGAACGCCTAGAGCATGCCCAGTCTGCTCAGCACCTAGTTTATAAAGAGTAGAAGACCCCACTCCCACTAGCATTTTGCAGGCTAAGCCAGGGCTGGGAGCAAAGAGGGGCCAGTTAGAAGGCCCTGTCCAACTGGACAGAACACCGAGATGTATGGCTAGACTGGCCAGGAGGGGCAGGTCAGATGGGACAAGAATAGCTGATGGGAGGAAAAGCTTTTACATACCCAGAATCTGCTCCGAGGAATGTTCTTTAAAAAGCCACTTCTGCTGGCCTGGATTGTGCCATCAGCTTGATATTTCCAGATGCAAGGGTTTAGGGAAGGAAGCCTTTCTCTGTGATTCCTGGGTTGTCCAAGGTCCTTTGGAGACCTCAGCCAGCCTATGAAGCAGGCCTGAGGCCCCCCACCGCAGAGGATGTTTAATTCAGCGTAGAGCCCTTAGCAGGGCGGGGCTCACTGGGTGTGCCAAACACAGGTACTGCTGGCCCTGCTCGAGAGGAGGAGATGCCCTTTTTTGGGGGGTGAGAAGAGTTAGAGGAGGGATTTGAGGAACAAGGGAAGAGTGAGCTCGTAGCCCTCCCGACCAACCGCACATCGGTTGCTGTGCAGTGGACACTGACTGGGGAGGAAAGTCAGGGTCAGAGACCTGAGAGGGCACACCCAGCCATGGGCCCCTCCCAACACTCTTGACCCCTGGGAATGTGAACGGGGACATGTTCGAAGATGGCTCAGCAGACAGGCTGACCCAGCTCCAGTGTCTGAACACTGGCTTCTCCACCAAGGGGGCCTTGGAAAGGTAGCACAATCTTTAAGGAGGACAGAGAGCTGAGGGTTTGCTCCTCCAGAAGGTAAGGTGCTCAGGGCCTCGCTGGACGCCGCCGCCCCAGCATCTGCGTTTCCATGGCAGCACATCTGCAGCTGCCGCTGTGGTCATGCTGATGCGCTTTCTTTCCATTCCTCTCATCTTTTTTTTTTAACAACTTCGTCCTTTTCTCTGTCTCCTGAGAGTTTAACCATTTAAGGAAGTTCCCAGATTGCATTATTTTAGTCCAGCCCAGTGAGGGATTTGGGGGGAGGAAGCAGGGCTGAGTAAAACATTGTGTATGTGTGTATATTGCCCATGAGGCCGATTTTCCTTTGCCTTTAATGAATCACTTGGTGCACTAAGATACTCCCCCTCAATGCTCATTTGCACCCACGCTGAAACACACATGCACACGTGGGATGGTGTCCATGCATGCTTGTGCTCACGTGTGTGCACACACGGATATGCACAGAACACACATCTACATGTGCTAGCAAAGAGGCTCCTGCAACACCTCCGATGGCTGAAGCTGTCTCTCCCCTGTGAGGCACAGGTGATCTGGGTCACTTGCCCTTGGGGTGCCACTGGAATCTGTCATCTGAGAGGGTGAGGACACTGTGTAAACCAGAGCTCTTGAGCCCATGAAATGAGGCTGGGCCCCAGATGGCAATCCCACCCGGAGTCACTGCCAACCCATCTGAAATGTTGCCTCCACCTCAGCCACATCTGGACGCCCAAGTCCCCAGCTGTGGAATACTAGATTTTTAAAGAAAATATCTCTTTGCCCTTGTTTACATACCTACTGGGGCAGTGGAGGCTCCTAATCTTCCTCCCGGATACCTGGCCACATGAGAAGGGTGTGGTTGGCACTGCCCATGGTAAAACGGAGCCTTCCTGGCCTTTGATTTCCTGGGTCATTGATGCCAGGCCCCTGCCCATGTGACTCCACCCAAAGCAAGTTCATATGAGAACACGCCTGGCACCTTTGGCATTACCTGGCTGTGCCCTAAGGAAATCTGGTGTTGCACCCAGGAGCCCACAATTGACACAACAGACTGCTCTTTCCCCTCCTGGCTGTGGCTCTGGAGTTCACATCAGCTCCACACCCGGACTGCCAAGACAAACCAAAAAGACATTCTGGGTTCCAGAAGCACCTTCCTCCTACAGTTCCAGGGAGTTTGCAAACCCAGGCTGCTTCCCCTTCTGTCCTCCTTCCACCAAACCTGACACTGCCATGATTCAGAGGAAGCAAGGACACAGTGGGGGGGCTGCCCCGCCTGGCACACACTGCCTCGAGGCCTTCTGTCGCTGCCCACGCTTCCCTGGGCAGTGCTTCTAAAGGTGCCAGAGCCTCCTCTAATGCCATTCTGGGCAGCAGCTTCCCTTACCTCCGCAGAGTGCACATCTGAAGGACCTGCCCTAGGTGAGGCTCTAGTGGGCAGGAGGGTGCAGGAGAGACCATCTGGGCAGCCACCACCCACTCCAGAGTGCTCTGTGTGGTCCTGTCCAGGGGTACCCATGGGCACATCGGCCCAGCAACCCTGACCACCACCCTGAGCGCAGGTGCCCCTGGGATCACCCTGCTTCTCTTTGTTTCCATAAGAATAACCAAAAGTGTTTAAACGTGTTACCTTTCTTCACGCATAGAGACTCCAAAAACAAAAATCAACACAAATCTTTATTTTTTGATTTAAAAGATATAACGAGAAATTATGGGGAGAGAATTCATTATGGCAGGTGTCTATCTGTAAGAAAAAATATATATATCTTTATGTCATATAGCTTGTTAGCAGGTTTATTTTTTAAATGAAAGGTAAGAAAGATTGATTTGAAATATATACCACGAGAAGTCCCATGTCCTGTCAAACTGTCAGTATTTTATAAATAAACTTTTTTTTTGGAGTTCTGAAGCAACAGTCGTTCTTTTCTTCCCTGGAAGGTGAATGGGGACCCCTACCCCAGTATCATGCTCAAGCATCCATTCCCCAAACACATTTTTAGCCATGCTGTGCTTTTGCAGAGACCCAAGGGTCTGACATATCTGCTCTCTTAATTCATAGGTGGGTGGGCATCTGTGTCTTCCAGTGAAGTGCACTATTTTATTTATTTTAAACTTTTAGGATAAGAGCCTCTCAGATGTATTGTGCAAATGGTAGCAGTTAATAATAATAATACGGCATCCACTCTGTGCCAGGCACTGTTCTGATCTCTTTGCATTTATTAACTCATGGAATCCTTGTGACAACCCCCTAGGGGGGAAACCGTAGCAGAGAGATAAAGTAACTTGCCCTGGGGAAGTGGTCGAGCCAGGGTTTGTACTAACATAGTCTGGCTCTTGAGACATACACTGCCTTTGATATTTTAAGGCAAGCTCTTTGCCCCTTTTTATTTTAATTTCTACAAAGCTAGCACCCTAGGTCCCAGTGACCTTGACGCCCTGAGAAATACTGTGTTGTTTGGTGAATCTCACCCAGTTAGTCCACCCAGGTTTAGAGTTAGGGCTTGGACGGCTGAATTTATGAGTACAGTAGTGTTGCATTATGCCACATTTCTCTCACATAAATTAAGTTATATGACTCAATTAAGAGAAAGGGTGAAGGATAAATCATTTTAATAGTGTATATAATGCCACTCAATGCGAACACTGATTTTATATAATCTACATTATTGTATGATGCTCATCAGACATTTATTCATACAGAGGCTGCTCAACTAGTCAAAACAATTAAACAAGAAATTATATATATGTGCAGAACAAATATATATGTGCCACAAATGCTTTATTTTTACTTAAAACACACAAATGCAAATTCATTCATCAATCTGTTGCTGTTGGGCCATAGCATTATTCTTTTTTTGAAAATGGGCTCAAAGTATGGAGTTCTTTATTATTGTCTGTCTTGCATAAATCACATTCTAATGCACGATCAGTGCATTCCATTTTCTGTTTCTTTAAAGTAAAGCAAGCGCTGGCCTGTGGCTCACTTGGGAGAGTGTGGTGCTGATAACACCAAGGCCCCGGGTTCGGATCCCATATAGGGATGGCCGGTTCACTCACTGGCTGAGTGTGATGCTGACAACACCAAGCCAAGGGTTAAGATCCCCTTACTGGTCACCTTAAAAAAAAAAAAAGCCCAACAAATAAAATAATCCTTAAAAAAAAATAAAGTAAAGCAAGAACATATAGAAATTATGGATTGGTATGAGAGCAGAATCCTAGATTTTATGATCTTTTCCTAATATTTTACAATTCTTGCCCATGGCTAATTCAACACACTTTTTAAATTTTTTTTTTTTGCAGCTTTCCTTTACCAAAACATTCCCTTTCCAAAGCATTCAATGTAATTTTCAGAGAAAGAACTACTCTGATTTTATCCACTTACATCATATTTAATTAAATTATGTAATTACTATAAAAAGTACAACTGGCATAAACAAGCTTGGGAACAGTGATAATTGGCTCTTTGTAAACATACGACTCAATTTAGTTTGAGCAGAAGGGTACAGCCGTGACAGAAAGCAGCCTACCACCTTCAGCATTCAGGGGACTATGGGCAGCTGTATGTTTTGCAGAAGTCATATT